TTTCTAGGGGAGAAGCTCATAAAACCATCTGTTTTCTTCTCCTTCCCTGAAAATAACTTTCTGCTTATATTTTATATTTCATTTAAGGCAAATACCTCCATAGGAAAAAAAAAACACACCACACTGCTTAGTGGTATAGTGAATTGGAATTGCCTGGGATTGCCAGAAAAACAATAGAAAAATTGGAAATAATTTTCTGACCAAAGAATGTTCAGTTTTTGACTAAAAGGAAAAGGTCTTTTCTAAAAGTGACCATTTTTCTATAATGTTCTCAGAGTAAGGAAAGTTTTCCTATATACTTGCATACCCTATATGTATATAGATCTATGGTATAGATCTTTATTTTATGTTTTTAAAATCATTAATACTTTGTTTGCCTATAATTGAGATACTGTACTCATGTTATTCCTCATTAGCTAATGTTAAAAAGTGTTCTTTTATATAAATTGTTCTTCATATCCTGATCAGTTATCTCCTTCATAAAAGATTATGCCATTGTATTTTTGTTTATTTTCTTGGCTCATGTTACGATATTGACAAGCAATTAAATTCTGACCTGATATATATACATTTAATCACATTGCTAAAACAATCTACTGGGAATTTAGCAAGAGACATTGGTTGCAGTGAGTACTTGGAATCCAAACAAGAAATAATATTATTACTATCATAGTAGATCTCAAGCAATTGAGCAATGGCTCTGGGTATTTATAGAGAATATATGCTGATACGATAACTTCCAGAATGAAAATTGGAGCCATTGTTTAGAGATCATTTTCATCTTGGGGGTCTGACTATCTTGACCATTGTGATAACAATCTGCTAATTTCAATCTTCTGATGGCACCTTCTTTTTATATACATCAGCTTTGTTGATTGTGCTGCCGTAACTGCTACTGATTTGGTAAAATTTCATTCAATTGCATTATGCATTTATTTCCTATTAATAGTTAGGCAGGGCATGATGGCTCAGAAGCTAAAGACACTGAGCTTGTCAGCCGGAAAGCTGATAGCCTGGGTTCAAGATTGAAGGACAGTGCAACAGGGTCAGCTCTCTTTCCTTGACCCAGCTCCTCCCCACATAGCAGTATGAAAGCATGCAAATGTGAGTAGATTAATAGTTATCACTTCGGTGGGAAAGTAACAGCCTTCCATGTGCCTTTGGTGCATAGCCATGTTGGCCACATAGCCATGGAAACTGTCTTTGGACAACACTGACTCAGTTGGCCAAAAAACAGAGATGATCACCACACCTTAGAGTCAGACACAACTGAACAGGGAAACCTTTACCTTTAATAATTAGGCATTTGTTTGAATGCTTCGTCCAGAAGTTGATTGCTAGAAACAAGAATATTCTTATCAAATAGGGATTTGCATCCAATATCATTTATATTTATGTTTTTACACATGGAAAACAGGTAGGGACAAATGTACCTGCATTATATAGTATTTACGATTTGTTTTTCTTCCCACCTTCAGCTAAGGCTTCTCTTTTAAAATATTTTTTATGTTACTGTGATCTGTAGGTTTGGGAGTGTTTATATTACTTGATGACAGCTTCAGAAATATAGTTTAGTGTTCACTAATGAGATGTGGAGTTGTCAGAAAAATAGCAGAAAATTAGACACTGGGAAGTAAAAAATAAACAACAAACCCTCTGTTTAGATATGTCATTAATACATCTTTGTACCCACCACTTGGATTATATTGCTCTACATGGGTCAGCCCTTAAAGATAATCTGGAAGCTTCCATTTGTTCCAAAAGCAGTGGATCACATGTTTTTGTGAAGTACAAATTTGCACATGTATCACTTCTTTTGTGGGAGCTGTAGTGGTTGCTGATTTGGCTCCAGGTGCAATACAAAGTCCTGGTTATCAACTTTAGAGCTTGAGCTATTTGTCAAAGTGCCTCTCCCCAATTACATTTACTTAGCCCACGAGAGCAGGAAAGCAGGGCATGTTATAGGTCCCAAGTAACTATATCTGGTGCGACCTAGGAAAAGGGCCTTCTCTGTGGTGGCCCCTCCCATTCAAGTGTCTTCCCTCAGACATAAGATTGGACCCTACCTTGTTACTTTTCTGCAAAGCACTGAAGGCATAGTTTCATCAGTAATTCCAAGTGATCCAAGTGATTCCAAGTTATCAAGTAATTAATTCTCTTGTTGCCACTATGGTGGGTGGGTGGGTGGGTGGGTGGGTGTGTAGTAAAATTGTGTGTTTTTAACTGTGATTTTTTTAATGTTTAATGTTGTATGAGTCCTTGTGTATGAGCTATATGATTTTTAAAAATAAATAAATACATAAATTTAAATTTTCACATTTATTTTATTTATTAAAATGTTTTCATTGTTAAAAATATTTCAACCTAGTACATACAAGATAAACAAAGCTGGAACTTAATTGCCAGTCCTACCTCTTTTTGGAGGGTGTTCCTTCCTCTGTTTCTGGTGCAGAGTTTCTGATTAATTCATGTGTTCAAAATTTCGCTAGACGTGTGAAAAAGTATATAATTATGTTCCCTCAAAAGCCACAAAAATGCTCAAGGAAAGTAGCCATGAGCAATTTGGTGCTTTCTTTTTTTCTTTTTAATTCCTGGAAATGTCAGCCATAAATAGTTTTAGTCCACCAGGTAGAGAAAGAAATGGATTGTGCATCAAGAAATCACAGTGAGAATACATCATAGTTATGAGGGTATGGTTTTATTTTCTTACAGAAAATAAAGCAGATGGTGAATTCTGAACAGAGAGACCTTGAAGGGCCCTTCTGTTGACATACTTTTGTTGTCCAATAACAATGGACTGCCACTCTAGGCTACTTACATTGTGTATGATCATACATGTGGCTCTCATCAAGGAGTAAGAGGTCCAATCACATCTCTATTCAGCTTTGTTTCTTGGCATTGAGCATAGCAGAACAAGTCAGTTGTTTCTTTCAGCAATACTAATTTGCCCTATGCATTTTCTGAAAAACACAGAGTGAAGAATTTGATATTGAGTGTCTTTTGGGAAGAGGAAGCAAATTATATTATAATTACCATGTCATATGATTTCTTAGTGGGGGGGAGGAATTGGGATGGTGGCTTGGATGCATTCTTTTTTCTTATACACATTAGGCAGGCTTATACAACAAAGGGAAAGACTCCAATGATTTCCCTAAGGTAGCTTGCAGAAGTAATTGGTTGTATCCAAGCTGTTAGGTAACCTCCGCATTGGGAGAGCGAGTACATTCAGCGAAGTGTTGTTAGAGTTGTGTTGAAGAACACACAAACCAGCATACAGAGACACTGCAGTTTACATAGGCTTTTACTTTCATGGAAATAGAAGTATCAGAGTCCATCAAACAGTCCAAGTCATACATAGATAAGACAATCAGTCATCAATGTCTTTCAGTTAAGGGAGAATCCAAATAACATAGTCCAGTATCATACAATGTGTCTGGAACTCAAAGTTTGCTAGCAGTTGAAAAACTTACAATAGCTCACGGCACTCAGATCAGATCAGCCCAGCATCTAATGAACAGAGAGAGAGCTAACAGTCATTCTGGCTCCCTCTTATGGCCGATTGAGGAAAACAGAAACCAATCACATTTTACAGTATGATTTACAGAAACAGGTATAACATTGTTACATGATTTATATATTGCCAACCCAACCATTAGAGTTATATTCCTAACACAAGCCTTCCCTCTATTTATAAAGAAAGAAGGACTCAGTATATCTTCTGACAATGCAGTGCATTTTTTTTTTTACACTGTTCAGGGAGATCTGCAATAGAGTGTCCTGGGAGGTTGAAATGCTCTGGTATTACTTTTATCTTGATTCTGAGTTCTGATGACAAATTTATGTCCATTAATTATTTTGTGCAAACTTTGTCCTGCAAAAAATTGTGGCTCTCAAAGTGTTCATTTTTGAAAAATGAGACTTTAACCGTACCAGTGAATGAAAGTTTACTGAACGGAACATTTATCTCGAAGGCTGTCTCAAAACATCTTGGGGGAGAGGGTTTCTTACACACAAGTATTGATAAACTAATCTGTTTCATACACATCTGCATCCACATAATCAACCCGTCTTCCCCTCCTTCCCCTTTTTTCATCCCAATGTAAATCCCTCATCACTTGGTATTCCATGCATTTTAGGAAGTGGCCTGTTGCTTATGATACAAACTTGCTTATTTATTTATCTACTAAATTTAGCTGCCTGACTCCTGACAACCCTGAATATGTCTTCTGATAAAAAATTATTAGTCTCAAAATGTGCTATCAGAGTCCTTCAGCTGTTATAGCCAACGATGGCTCGCCTCCTGCTGCTATGATAATTAATTATGGAGGAACACAACTGCATTCAGATCTTACAGGTTTACTCCATAAGATTGCTTGGTCACTGTGCAAAATAGGATTGGATAAAAAAAATACTACCTGGTCTTATATCTAGTAATGGCCAACTAGATGCCAACCAGAAGCCAGCAAAGGAATGAGAATTTACCACAGAAAGATACACCGGGAACCTTCATAATTGTTAACATTCTTTACATTTACAAACTAAAATGAAAGTGGTGGAAGAATGTCAAACTTTAATGTGCTGCTTATCCAAAGATGAAGCTGTCTCTTTCCACTGTGCAGGATCTTTTGTGAACATTAGGTTTTACTGCACAATGCCTCGAGGACAGTTAACTGAGACATGAACACAAATCTTCAGGTTAATGCTTGGCATATGACACCACTCTTTGGACTGTAAAGATTTAACACTGTGGCTTAAAAAATAATCTAAGGAACAAAAATATTAAATTTTTAAAAAGCAACTCTGTATTTTCTAAATATACATTAAAAATCTAGAAATCTTTGCTACATTCGCTTAAGGCAACTGCATGAATTTAATGCAGTAGAAATTCATTTCATTTTTACCTTGTAGGGTTTTTATAACAGGCAGTGATTTAAATGGAGTAGCATGATGATATAGAAGTAATTATGACAGAAGTGTTTATTCATTTCTTTTCTCCTTAGGTGGTTGTTCGTTTGATGAACATTACAGTAACTGTGGTTATAGTGTGGCACTAGGGACAAATGGATTTACTTGGGAGCAGATTAATACCTGGGAGAAACCAACAATGGATCCAGCTGTCCCAACTGGTAAGTACAGAACACAGTGGGGAAAAAAGCTTTTAAATATTTTTGAAATTCTAATGTCATAAAATGAGATAAGCTTGATAAGTTAATGAGATAAGCTTGATAAGAATTTAATGATAATGTACCCAAGAATTGACCCTTTTCTTTTTAGAGGTATGTTATTATTCTTTGTTCAGAATTTTTTTTCTTGAAGATAAGGTTTTGTGAAGTCAAATTGAATAGTTGCCCCCTCTTTTTTTGTTTGCTTTAACCAGGATTTAATTGTTTTAACCCTTAACCATGGACATACTATTTCAGCTATGCTGTTACAGACATAATGACCTCTGTACCAAAAAGACATTCAGTGTTTTCATGGTTAGATCTAAAAATTGATGTATAGAGCAGTAAAGCAAAAAAAGGTATTGATGTTTGTAAATCCACATCGTACAGGTTACTTTTTGTTTCTTCATCCTTGAACTCCAATCTTTCTTCTCTAATTTCTACATTGGTTCACTGAATGATGGTGCTAATAATTTCTTTCAAAAATAACAATTTCCAAATCTCTAGAAGAGTAGGTGAATTTCCGAGATTTCTAACTGCTGGCTAGGGGTGCAGATAATTGCACAATAATATTGTGACTCGCTGTTCTGGATATATTGCTTCCAAAAGGTGCAGAAGACAATTTGAATTTGTTCTTGCCATATACATTATTGCACAACATAGATTGCACCTGGTCATCAATTTCATTGGGAGCTTCATCATTGCTAATGTCAGAATCGCTGCTGATGGTGGGTTCCTCATTATCCATTCCAAAATTTCCTTAACAATCTGATTCCACTTCACTCAGATCACCTTCTGCTTCTCCATATCATTTTAGAACAGTTTCTGTGTAAGTTTGGGTCACCAAATCACACTATTTTTGGTGGAAAAAAATTGCCCCGACATTATAAAAAAAATATGTTAACAAAGATCTGCAGTCAAAATGACCAAAATTCAAATTCAAATACAGCTACAGAAAACACCAAATAACTGACACAAGCATGATGCTGCATACATTCTTATTGGTGGGAAAACAAAAGCTATTTGCAACTGGAATGGTCCATTTCTAAAAAATAGGGGTGTTCCGAACATGTTGGAAAACTGTTGCAGTCACCATGACCGCAGTTTGGATTTATTAGATTTATAATATCTAGGATTAATTTTAGTGTTTGTCATCTTGACTTTTCATTACCAGTAAGCCAGAGCTCTTCCAGAAATTGTCCTATAATTTTTTTGTCCTTGTCTTTCTGCTGAATACATTTTCTAATCCTTGCAGATTGCCCATCAAACCTCACTTCCTAGTGGAGTTGATTCTGGAATAACATTATTTCAAATATTATCCTATCATTATATTTGTAAATTATTTCAGTGTAGCCTGCAAACTTATTTTACTTTCATTGCCTCCATTAGATATCATTCATGATTACCTTTAAGTAGAAGAATATCTACTAATTTTTAACAATATGATATTGTCATTTATTGCATTATAGCTGAAAACATATTTAGCAAAGCTTTTGGGGGGTATTGTTGACTTTTCATTCTATCATGTAGCCTCATGCCCAAATATATGAAGTAATTATCAGAATTAAACTAACCGGTCTACTTTTTCCAAAAACATCCCACTTAATATGCTTTATTTTCATTTAATAATTTAAAACTTTCCTTGATCCATGCTACTTACATTCCAGGTTTTAACTGAATGCATCCTCATAAAATTGTTCTGAGCCATCCTTCACGAGCCCCACTCAACAACCTACTCGTGAGGAGAAACCCCTTTTTATTTAGGAATTCATGGCATTCACTGACAAATATCATAGCAATAGCACTTAGACTTATATACTGGTTTCATAGTGCTTTTAAGCCCTCTCTAAGCAGTTTACAGAGTCAGCATATTGCCCCCCAACAATCTGAGTCCTCATTTTACCTACCTGGGAAGGATGGAAAGCTGAGTCAACCTTGAGCAGGTGAGATTTGTATTGCTAAACTGCAGCTAGTTTATGGCCAGCTTTTCACGCTCCTGAGGGTTCATGGAAGCCTCTGGAGGGTAAAAAATGACCTCAAAAGAAGGCCAAAGTCAGCTGGCCAGCGCGTGTATGCATGATGGAGCTCACAGGGCAATGCCTTGCATGCCCTAACAAATGGCTCCGCATGCCACCTGTGACACGCATGCCAAAGGTTTGCCATCATGGGACTAGTCCAGTGAGAATTAGAATTAATATATTTGAATGCACATTTGCAAAGATGTAAGGTTAAGGTTAGGGTAGGTACAGTATATGTGTTTGTTTTCTGTTGTCCAAGAGTCTTGCTGATACCAGTGCTGGCTTTTGGGGAATTCAGGAAACAAGACCCTTCACATGCTCAAGATCTTAGTCCCAGACAAATAACCAGTCTTCAGGTTTTTCCAAAAAACCAAAATGGTTGGTGCCCTCCAAACCTCTGTAGGAAGAATGTTCTCAAGGAGAGGCTCAACTACTGTATAACAAAGTGAGCTCCCATTGTTGCCCTATCTCCTGCCAAACTAGCAGTTTGAAAGCATGTAAATGCAAATAGATAAACAAGTACAACTTTTATGGGAAAGTAACAATGTTCCATGAGTCTCCACTACTTCCATGGTCATATGTATGGAAGCATCTTCGGATAATGCTGGCTCCTTCAGCTAGGAACCAAGCTTGGTACACAGATGACTTACTCTCTGAAAACAATACTGAGAAGGTAAGACACCCCTAAACCCCTTGGGGTGCATGTTCTGTTAAGATACAGCCTGTTGTGCTTTAAAATGGCTTCTACTGTACTGCCATAAAATGACTTCTACTGTATAGCATAGTGGAGTTGCCATAGCAATGGCTTCACAGTACTTCACAAGGGGGCTCCCTCTGGTAAGGGGGAGGGACATTAGAAATTCAACATTAGAAATTATGCTTGGTCTGGACATTTCCCCACTATAAATAAATACCTGGGTATCGGCTAGTATATCATAAATGCTAAAATAGGTTTATTACAGTTTAATAAATGAAAACTAAATGGAAAAATCCTCAACCCTAAAAATAATATGAAAATTCTGTTCCTGCCATTAAATGTGACATGAAACATCCAACATTTACTTTCTATCATCACGTCATCCATCACAGACTTGGCTTCCCCTCAAATAAAAAATTAAGTGTGGCCCTCAGCCGTGAAAAGTTCCCCCATTGTGTTTCAACTCTGTAAACCAGAATGCCTGCTATTTTGTCTTCCAGCACGAATAAACTCTTCTTGTCTTCAGTTGATTCTTATGGTTAATCCTTAGAAATTCTGTATGTGCCAAGAATCTTTTTTCTTCTTTCCTTTAATTGTCAATTTAGAAATGTATCTGCCTGCCTGCTAGCCAATACGACATGGCTTGTGTGTCTTTTTAGATATTCTGCTGGGCGGCTTGTGGGATTCACTTATCTATAAGCAGCTGCTGCATGGCTGGCGGAACATCGGAATGACTTAGCCACTTGGATGGAGGATCAATTGCTAGACCTTTGTAGTGGAATGAATTCTTGCTGATAAGAGGATCCTCATTTCTGAAAGAAGGTTGAAAGAGCACCTTGACAACTAAAGTTCTAGTATTAAATGCAACGCTGAAAAATAATACCATTTTTTCCTTCGCTTCAGAGGAATAATGTATTTACTTAACTGTGAATAATAGTCCATTAAATGTTGATAAAATCTACTTATTTAAAGCACAAATTGAGATCAGATCCATCCTTGTATTTTTAACTTTTCGCTCATGGAAAATTAAAAGCAAAGAAACAGGCTATACTGAAGTACTGAATGTCATGCTACTTTCCACAGTACAGCTTTGCCTCTTGTTATTCATTCTGTGTATTCAATAATAATAGCAATAATTGGCCTCCAGTGAAGTTCTGAGATAGGCAGATGTTGAACATCCATAACTATTAAAATAAAATTGTGGCTGGAAAGAATTATATCCAGACAGATATTTAACAGTTATAGCTTCTCAGATCATTTGATGGAGATGCCTTGGATGCCTTCTCAGATCATTTGATGGAGATGCCTCTATAATGGTTCTCCCAATAGCACAATACCATTATATCTTATCAGGTAGACAGATCCACAATCCATCCACAAAGTTTGGCTCAGGGATGTATTTACTTTAACTTGTAAAGCCATCATGAAAGGCAAGTTTATTTTAGTTATAAAGACAGATGATTGGAAAGATTGACCTCAATGTCTATGGAGAGTCTCAGTCATCCAGGTGATGAATGTCCCAAAGGTACTTTTACAAGTGGCAACTGGACTTTCTGGTTTTTCTTTGAAGACGTTTCACTTCTCATCCAAGAAGTTTGCTTCTTGAAGCTTGAAAAAGCACCTTTGAGATTGACCGCCTCACTTTAGTTAGGAAAAAATGTTTTCATTTTTGATGGTTCATAGCAGTTGAACTGTTTTATTACATGATGGAAAGCTCTTGTAAAGATGGCAGAGAGAGGAGACATGCATGGTATCCATATAGTAGGATGTATCAGTAGCAGCATAATTTTAAAGTCAAAGGGTAAGAAGCTAGACGGTAGAAAATTAAGCAACACTTACTTCTTACTTCTGTCTGAGTTTCTGTCAAGATTATACGTGTCAGAAAGGTGTTGCAGTGTTCAAAATTCAGCATTTAATATCTATTGAACAACAAGCACCCACACTATCTATAAAGGACTGTTTCAGTTTCCTCCATAGCACAATATGAAATCAAAAATATGGTCCACCTGGTGAAACACTGTATTTTTCAGCAAAATTAATCACTGGTCAACACCAGACCATTCTAAAGCTTATTTCTTTTTTTGCTGAAATGTTCTTCTCATAAAATCATTTTAAGTATTTACAGTTATTATAAATTCATAGTACTAGAGGGACCTTGGAAATTCTCCAACCCAATCCTTGCCCAACATAAGAATCACTACTATCTATTGTTGACAGATGGTCATCCAACATCTGTTTAAACAACTCCA